CACAAGGTATATGAGAAACTCCGAGCCTGATCAATGTACGGAATTAACAGAAGTTCAATTAACTTCTTTCCTTTTTCCATTGATAGGAATTCTCTGACTGGCATGAATACCTTCTAAAGGACACACCTAAGCATCTGTAGAATTGCCCTGTGGGACAAAGCTACATTACTGTCCCTGTATGATAGGGACGTATTAAAAGCCCAAATATATTTCTGACTCAGAAACTTTTGAAAGTGTATCAGATTAGTTGACATGGTAATGATGACGCATTTCCCTCAATCCCTAAACGTATGGTATAGATAAGTTCTAAAACTTCCCTGGTATTAATAATGAAGAGGTATATATAGTATTCGAGACCCAAAATGTCAGATAGCCTGATTACTGCATGAACAAATACCTCATGCCCAGTTTAAGTTTGGAATAACTCCATGCCTATATCAATGGGAATGTCACAATCTAACCTGGCTAGAAATCACTCAGGTTTCCTATCTAGCCGGGGGCGGTGGGGTAGCCTAGTGGTTAAAGCGATGGCTCGTCACGCTGAAGACCCGGGTTCGATTCCCCACATGGGCAGAATGTGTTAAGCCCATTTCTGGTGTCCCCCGCCGTGATATTGCTGGAATATTGCTAAAAGCGGCGTCAAACTAAACTCAGTCAGTCAGTCAGTCCTATCTAGCCTGTCAAGGGAAAACACAACATATTTCACACAACACAAATTGTTTACATATCTAAATTAAAAAATCACTTTTATAATTACCAAACATTGTTTGTTGAAGAGTAAGTTTTTGTATGCCATCATTTAAAATCCATTTAGGTATTCTAGATTTGGTTTTCAACAAATTATGCTATATCTTACCCCTAATATTGTAGACTGAAGTGTATAACAGAGAACGATTATTGCGAAACTTTTAGGCCCTTGAGACCACTTACAGACGTGATATATGTCCTGCACTCTCTCATAAATCACCTAAACGAACACAGTGACACTGATGCGAAGACAGCTTTAAAAGACATCAACAGGGACAGTTTTCATTAAGTCACTGATAAACAATGGAGGACAGTGTATTCCGTATTTCTCATGTTGCCCCGCTGTCTGCTGCTGGCAGGTGTGTGTGCCTGCACATGCCTCGTCCAGCTCTACACATGGCTACTCACAGATCTCCACAGGTAATTAGGCCAAGTCAGCATCACTGATAGAAGGGACGAGCTGACAGCTCCATCCATTAAGTGAGCTGAAGGGTGGGTGGGTGGGTGTTGTTAATACCACACTCATCAATTTTCCAATGATGAGTGAGTGGGTGAGTTTTGTTTTATGCCGCTTTTAGCAGTTTTCCAGCAATATCACAACGGGGGACATCAGAAATGGGCTTCACACATTGTACCCATGTGGGGATTCAAACCCAGTCTTTGGTGTGACGAGCCAACGTTTTAACCACTAGGCTACCCCACAGCCCCTATTCCAATGATGGCAGTCTGTGTATAATCAAGACTGGACCAGATGAAACTGTGATTGACATCATGAGCACTTATCTATGCAGTTAGGTTACGATGACATGCATCAACGAAGTAAACGAGTCTGACCCGCCAATCCTGTTAGTCACCTCTTACAACATGCATTGTTGTCCTTCTTCTCATAGTTTCAGCAGTATTGTGATGCACAAGTTAGTGAGTGAGTGAGTGAGTGAGTTTAGTTTTACGCCGCACTCAGCAATATTCCAGCTATATGGCGACAGTCTGTAAATAATCGAGTCTGGACCAGACAATCCAGTGATCAACAGCATGAGCATCGATCTGCGCAATTGGGAACCGATGACATGTGTCAACCAAGTCAGCGAGCCTGACCACCCAATCCCGTTAGTCGCCTCTTACGACAAGCATAGTCGCCTTTTGTGGCAAGCATGGGTTGCTGAAGACTTATTCTACCCAGGATCTTCACGGGTCGATGCACAAGTTAGAAGATGGTAGAATAAATTCGAGGTGAGAAGATAAGGGGATAGGGGAAGATAATGCACGAGGGGATGGATGGGTTAATGTATGAGAAAATCGGTGAATAAATTTGTGAGAAGATGGGGAATGAGTGAGCGGGTTTAATTTTACGCCACACTCAGCAATACTCCAGCTAAATGTCTGTAAGTAACCAAGTCTGGACCAGACAATACAGTGATCAACATTATGAACATCGATCTACGCAATTGGGATACATTGACATGTGTCACCAAACTCAGCGAGCCTGACCACCCGATCCCGTTAGTCGCCTCTTACGACATGCATGGGTTACTGAAGATCAGTTCTAACCCGGATCTTCACTGATCATGAGTAATGTGTGAGTGAGATGATCATTTCATGAATGTGTGAGTGAAAAGATGGGAGTGTGCATGAATGACATTCGTCAACATCATTTAACACTGTTTAGGACAGGAGGGACTGTCTGGTCTGACGCTTATTAATACTGTCAGTGACTGAGTGATGGCCAAGCAATAACAGTCGTATCATTTACAAAGTGCACTAGAAATGTAGATGAAAACATCTTTGTCAATACAAAAAACACTAAACTAGCTTTGACACTGCCCCTACATACAGTTTGTTAATCAATATCAATTCATTAGGTCAAGACACAATGACTGATGGGCAGATAATAATAGCCAAGAGTTCAAACAAGTGCTTGTGATGTCTGATCAGATGATATAGAACAATAAACAGCACATGTCAAAACATGATACCTCCCTATAGACACCTAGTAAAGGAACACAGGAACCAGACAGAGAACAAATAGCACCTTCAGGCCTAACACACTTTCAGAATTACCTGAAATCCAACTTTTGATACGACCCCTTGGCAGTAATCAAATGGGCATTGTTTGATGTCATTTGCTTTCCTGGCTTTAATGAAAGTACTAGCAGGTGCTTGTCCACCTCTTCAGGCAGTCTACATCCCTTATCACAAGTGTTTATTCATCTCCATCATAGTTTGACAAATGACACACCTGGTACCAACCTGCCACCACAGTTTTCTTATGACGGAATGATGCAACACAAATGCTAGCTGTCTCACCAAATATCTCTCATAAACAACAGAAAATGTTGGTCAGGTAAGTGATACCAGAAGATGAGATGACAACATCAACTCTGAAACATGGTTGTGAATGGTTCCAATCTAGTGAGAGAGTAAGTGTATAAGGTTTACGCCACTTTTAGCGATATTCCAGCAACATCACGGCGAGGGACACCAGAAATGGGCTTCACACATTGTACCCATGTGGGGATTTGAACCCGGGTTTTTGGCGTGACGAGCCAACGCTTTAACCACTAGGCTACCCCACCGCCCGGGGATACTAGAAATGGACTAACATATTGTACCCATTTTGGGGATCGTTTTGGATGTGTAAACGAATGCTTTAACCACTAGGCTACCCAATCATCCTCCGATCTACGGAAGAACACTCATTTCAGCAGTAGTTCTTGACTTACTTCACCTGCAGAAGAAACATATGTGCCTTATGTCCATCCATATAAATATATCTTGATAATCCATTCATAAATATTGATACCCAAAGATGGCTGTTTCTCTGATGAGAATATATTCACAAACAGTCCAGCCTGGAAACAAACTGCTCCTGCACCTTCATTCAAAAATAATCTAATCCATGTGTGTCCACTTCTTATTAGTTTATTCTTTCTTTCGATCTTGAAAATCTCCTCAATTACCAAGTTTTCATATAAATACCTGTATCACAGGTATAAAGAGTTAGGTTTAAAGACGCTTGGATAAGTATTCAAGTTAAGTCACAGCAAGCAGCTTGATGTGGGAGGAAAGTGATAAAGGTCTCGGACACTGACATAACCTGGTAACATAACATGGGAATAACCAGGAATCAAACTCACAGGTGTCTGGCATTCCCAAGGGAGGTAACTCTTTGCTGCAAATTATGGCGCCTTCACCAACTGAGCCACCCATGCCCATACACTATGTTTAAAGATACATGTGGATGCTGCGAATAAATCAGGTAAAGTGGTCAAGTTGTGTTCGCTCCACCCCCGTTTAAACAGGATACCCCTTCTGCCAACTCCTTACAGTTTGATCAATCTGTGTGTGTTCTATCCAACTAGGTTAAACAAGGTTCCCTTTCCCCAACTCCTTACAGTGTGATCAGGTTGTGTGTGTTCAGTCCACCCTGGATAAAAAGGATACCCCTTCTGTAAACTCCTTACAGTGTGATAAGGCTGTGTGTGTTCTATACACGCTTGTTTCAACAGGATACCCCTTCTGAGGATACCCCTTCTGCCAACTACTTACAGTGTGGTGTGGCTGTGTGTTCTATCCACCCACGATAGAAAGGTTATCCCTTCTGCCAACTCCTTACAGTGTGGTCAGGCTGTGCGTTTTATCTATTTAGGTAAAACAAGGCCCCCTTCCCAAAGTCCTTGTAAGGATATCTGGCATGTGTTCTATCCACCCAGGTTATACAGGATGCCCCTTTCCCCAACCCCTTTGAGTGACGACAGGCATATTCCACCCACCAAAATTAATCAGTAGTGCTGCGCAATATAAGCGGTTTACCGGTATTTACCGGTTCAGACATGAAAACGATACGTATTGCGATACGCTGATTGAAAACCGGTATTTTGACATGCATTTGGAAAACTTCGTAACACTCGGAAATCTTCGGATTTTTCCGTTTTTTTAAGTTGTTCCTTTCCTTTTTTTATTTGTGCCAAATATTATTTACATTTGTTTTTTGTCATGATTAAAAGTTTTATTAAATCTTAATCAAACAAAGTGACTTTGTTGTGTTTTTGCATTATAAATCAAGCATTAACTCGATTATACGTAGTTTTTTGTTGAAAAAAACTTCTTGCAATATATTGCAATACATATCACAATATACGCTTTTGCATCGCAATATATCGCAATATGAAAATTCTCTGCAATACCCACCCCTATTAATCAGGGTGGTCTCCATGACTACTTCACACAAATTCACAGGGACGGCAGACACTCACCATACTATTCCTTGAGCACCGGAACCAATTGGTCTGAGATTCTGATAACGTTTGAGTATGGTGAAGGTCGAGTCCCCCACCTCCACCGTGTAGAACTGGTTGGGGTGCTTGTTCATCACGACGATGCTGTGGTAACACTGTGGAGCTACACAGCCATGTGATACAGGGAAGACCAGGGTTTGCTTTACTCCATTGAGACGAGCAGTAGGCACACCTGCAAAATAATCACAGGTTAAACACATACATCGCAATTTGGGTACAGAGACTTACTGTGATTGATTCGTATACTACCCATCAAAAGTTTAGACTCACTTAAAGCACTCACTATATGTTATGTAGATATATATGGTTACATCGAAGACGAATTTCTCCACTAACTTGGGGGGAACCAACAGCAAACTTTATGCAGATGAATTGCACAAGGATCATGCATCAAATTGCTGAAAAGCATGTGCAAATATCATGCATGTGAACAGCTGTGTGTTGGTGTAAAGTTTTGTTAAGAATTCACCAATTTTCACTGAGTTTCACCATTTATTGTACTCATGACAATAATGTTTTCAACACTACGATTTTGTTTTACAATACATCAGTTCAATTACCTTTAAACAGTAGGGAATATTGTGCAAAATCTAGTTTAGAACAGTTGACTGAAGTAAGTGGCTATATTTACACTAGTGAGTCTAAACTTTTGATGGGGAGTATATTTCTGGGTTTACGTAGAAAGGCCTGAGTGCAGAAATTCTAAGTTAAAAGCTACGAGGGCTTGAAACTCCAACTTAAGACCCATTTCTGAACATTCAATCAAGGTAATATTTTCACAAAAATGGTTACATGATGGTATGTGTTTTAATATTACCATTCAACATTTCAAATCTTTCTCAAAGTGATATTTCTTCATTCCATCCTGTATCTAAGCATATATTGAAATTGGTGTGGCCTAAAGAACATCATTACCTACAGGGGTGGAAATAACGCTCGAGTCCACTGTTCTTTTCTGCCAGGCAAGCAAATTTGTATCTCACACTGTACCGGAGTCCAGTTGACTTTCCAATGTTAATTATGTTGTTCATGTAAAAAATCAACAAGAAAACAGCTGGTATAGTGGAAAAATTATCAGGGCAAGTGATTTTACATGTGCCACTGTACCGGATACACTAGCAATTTTAAAGTTATTTCCACCCCTGACCTAATTTCATCTATGACAAATCTTACTTCCAATGACAAATCTTACTCCCAATCTTACTCTCAATCTTAATTAACAACATAAAAACAAACAGATCCGCTACACCAGTAACTTAACACACTGGTCCAATATACTCCAAAGGGATGAAAGTCATTACCTTGTATATTCAATGACGTTAATTACACACCTTATCACATCAATAATTCATAAATACACCCTGATTAGGCCACAAGTGTCTAACTCAATACAATTAAGACACAGATCCATATGCCTTCATACCAAAGCTACATCCAATTGTCTGTATGAACCATGGGCCAAAGTGAATACCCCGTAATAGATATCTTGTTAGGTAGCCGTGAATTGGGATATTGTACCAGCATTTATCTCATGTCATCTGTTTAGGACATGAATGCCTCTGGCTGCTGAAATTATCCACAAGTTGGCCATAGTGGCACAAATATAATATCCTATTTATTCCGGAACCATTTATTTGTGCATCGAGATACAAAGCAAGGACCCAAGGGTAGGATTATTAAGACAAGTGACCACATCCAAATTTAAGGACATCTCGAAAAAATGAATCACATGCCAATATTTCAGGATGAAACCTGCTCTTATTAAAAAAGGTTTAAGTGACATACTGAATGAGGAATCATCTGGAAGATACCACAATGAGAAAGACTGACTGACTTGAACAAACATCTCCCAACAACTCGTCAGATTTACACCTCCATCCCAACTGTAAGGATATTATTAGTAAAAGATGATGTACAAATAAACCTTACTCCTTTTAAGTGATCCAAAGAATTCTTGTTCGCACATGTAAATTCCAAAATATTTTTCAGAGTCCTGTAGTGCAAAAATATTTCACTTCTATACTTTATCCTTGTAGGTGGTCGATGTCTTTAAGATAATTAGGGTGGTTGGTTGCTTAACACCGCACTTACCAATATTCCAGCTATATGGCGGCGGTCAAAAATAATCAAGTCTGGATCAGACAATCCAGTGATCAACAGCATGAGCATCGATCTACTCAAATGGGATATGATGACATGTGTCAACCAAGTCAGCGAACCTGACCCGATCCTGTAAGTCACCTCTTAAGACAAGCATGGGTTACTGAAGACCAATTCTAACCCAGATCTTCACAGGTTAGATAATTAGGGCCTTGCAGTATTACCTGTATATAAGTATACAGCAATACCCTTTCAAAACGATACATAGTGCAGTATTCATTTCGAGAACCAATATACTGGTTCATCTGGTTTGAGATAACCTTTATGGTTTAAATTAAACCATTCACCTTCATTCACAACTGATGTTCCCTTTGTAACTAACTGACAAAATACCATACTATACATACTATAAATTGTATAAAAAAGAAAGAATCCTAAACTATCCAACCAAATTTTGAGATTTCTGTTAGCAGAACCATCAAGATATACTCATGGAAACAAATAAGGGAACACATGAAGGTACAAGTGTTCCTTTATTCTTTTTCCAGGTTTCTTCACAAGGTATGTATTGCCCTGTGGGTGAAATTCAGGAGATAAATAAAGGAACACTTGTACTTCCATGTGTTCCCTTATTTGTTGCCATGAGTATATTTTAGCCTTAGTATGTAAAAAATAGGATGGCAGTAGAGGTGTGACGATACAGAAATGTTACGATACGATACGTATCGCAATATCATAGAACGATACGATTCGATACGATGCATATCACGATATGCTATCTTTAGTTATTTTCTTTAAAAAAAGTGTATTTTGATAACAAGAAACAGTGTAAATTTTGACAGAACCGTCAATTTCTGGTGAACATTCACAATTTTAAGGTCAACGATACATATCACGATACGGAAAAAAAGTATCGATATATTTATTGTCAGAAAAAGTATCATGATTATCGATACTACGATATATTGTCACAACTCTAGATGGCAGTCAGTGTCACTCACTGTCAAACACTTTAGCTCCCATTATACAGCTATCCCTCACTATAATGTGGGTGTTGGGATGCATGGATGACACCCCTACATTATACATGACATGGAATAAAGGAATAGTAATATTGCATTTGTCTTGTGCATAGTATAACTGTTATGTCATACATTGAGCCCAGTCAAAACTATGTCATATCGTCAGAGGTGAACAAACAAACTCCGTAAATGAAAACAGGAAACTTGCAGTCAAACATCAGTGGACATGAAAATTCACAATCTGTTTACTACATTGACAAATGCTATAACAGTCTGACAGAAAATGACCCACTGTCATACAAAAGGGTCCTCAATACTGATGTGACATTTTGATGCAAGAAATTAATTACTCCAGAGAATGAAATACAAAACTGACACTGGGAGAAATGTTTTGTTGTACAAGTGAACCCTGGCTTAGTACCATCATTCAAAAGACCATACAATGCACAGGTGACTGAAAAACTCATTCATGGCCAAATTTGGAATTGTAAGTTAATTTGATCAAATGTTGGACTAATATATAGAATTACAACAGCAACTGAGCATTGTAAAACAAAGCTGCATTGTTTGGGCAAAATTCTGCATACAAGATTGTTGGTATCAAACGTCTTAAGCTCCTCACAGTGATGCCCTGTTCACAAAGCACTCTACACTATCACTGCCACAGGAACTCCCCACTCATGTATGGCCTTCAACCATGAGTGGAGTTCAACTCACAACCAGTGAACCGTAATATTTACAAACAAATGATGACTGTCAAGGAACCAAAAACTCTCCTAAAACTAAATTCATTTGCTTGTCACTTAGAATCTCACTTTCCTTAAAGCTACCATGTTATTTGTAGTGATGAAGTAAAGAAATCGCTTGCCTTTCCATCTGCAATCTCAAATCAATTTGATCAAACAAATGCAAATCTATCTTAGAAATTGTAAGTTAGTTAATCCTTTCCCCAATTCGCTATAATGTCATTTTCAAAGAAATTTCAGTTTTACTTTTCTGACTAGAACTGCTATCATGGCATCAGTGGTGGGAACATACATGCACAGTTTCCTTTTCACGAAGCTCATAGTTTCACGGATTATAAGATTATAATAAATTTGGGAAGAAACACTTGGTACAGGTGAGCTAAAATGTTACTGTTTAATAAAGTGGCAGATCTTTGCTGCTTCCAACAAGTTGTGACATTCTCCTTGTAGTTGTACAAACTCTAAATATATCATAACCTTAACATTATTCTTTAGGCTTTTAATGGTTAGGTTAAAACTGGAATTTCTAACTGAATGACAATAAGCTATAAGCTACTAACCTATGAACTTTTAATTGCATGTATGACATGCAACCCATAAACACAATGGAAGTTCATTAAGGTAAAACATAATTTGACTTGGAGGGGTTTACAGAGGGAACTATTAACACAGAGTATTGGAGATTATCCAATAAACTCCCTCCATGGTTAACAAACTGTCATCTGTGAATATTTATTGCTTCCAAACATAAGTATCAGGGCTTACTCTTTACATGTGTGTCATAAACACCAATATAAATTAGAAGTAACAGTTGATAAGGTCTCACTCGTTTTTTCTATTGTTAAAAGGGAAATGAATTTAAAAACGGAAAGTGACTATTTAAAATGGGTACATGGTCAGAACATTCTGACATATAAACATGATAAACATTTACTTTTAATAATCATAGATCTTAATTAGACGTAACCTCACAAATATTCATTTCCATATATGTTACTCAGTTCACAGGATATGCTGTATTAAGCAATCATACCTTGAAAAAAGTACACTTGCCATTGTCATCATTCTATAGCCCAAGGCTGTGGAGTTCACAGAAACAATCATGGTTCAGAGATGAACATTTTGAACACAACTGATATTCTACAGTTAACAAAAATAAGATTTTAGTATATTCACATCAATAAATGATCTTTGACATGATATGGTTTGTATTTTGCCCATATCTTCAACTTTCCATTTTTGATTAATGCCTTATAATCAATACATGTGATACTGTTCCAATGTATACAAAACCGATGTCACACTGTCAAAACGTTCTCGGTCTCGACTTGCAAGGTGCCATACCGACGTCATCGACTGGTAATACTCATGTACATACAACTATTATCCAAAGAACATCAAAATGGTCACGAAAACATAATATATTCTTAAAATGTGAGAGACAAAAATAGATTATCTAGATTTTTCGAGGTAAGATTCACGGAAGTAGGCTTCTGGTGGGCATGTCAAGGCACCCGACGACACAAGGTGCCCGCCGCAAAACGGTATCGTTAATTCAACTGTACCCTTCATCAAATGATGACTTACTAAACAAACAGACGATGAATCCGTGAGACCCTGAAATAGAGCGATCGGAACTGTTGTTCGTATATTCAGCCCGGAATTTCCTAGATCTGTTCTCTTCCTCTTCGATATAGCTTACTCGGTTGTGACGTCAGCAGACATTGCGGAATTTTCATTATCGTCAAGAACGAGATTTGTTTATTTTCTATGGAAAATGGTATTTAAACATTGATATCAAACGTTATTAAAGAATAATGAAGATTCACAGTTAACTGTCAAATTAGTAATTTCAGTGGAAGAAATTCATCCGGGTTCCCGGATGGTCACAAAATTTATAAACTATGAGTAAAACGTCAGCAGTTTACGTGCAAATGCCCTCGGTTTTCCAGCCGTATTTTGACTGTACACGATAGTTCACAAATCGACGAAAGAGGTGGACGGGCTTACGGATGCAATGTAGTTAAAACAAACCGTAAACATTGAGAACGGGGTGTTGATGCGTACCCATTTTTGTCTACAATGAAGATTGGCCTCCCGTCTCAGATCTTCGGGACTTGTATGTTGATTTACATGCATCAAAACAGTGCTTTAGCTCGGAATACTCGCACCTGTTGAAAAACTTTGGAGGTTGCATTTATCTTCATCAACTGACAGGTAACAACATTCCTGTAACACTTTAAACGAACTTTTCTCAAGTGTGACATGCTGATCGGTTGATTTGTATTTTATCTATTCATTTTCGTTGTGATGATATGAATGTATTTTTCTGTTTTTGAAGGATATGATAGCTAACCGCCTGTCCCATTTTTCTCTGAACACGAGCTGTACCATGTCGAACTCTTCAGCTGTCAAGAGCTTCCGTCCTGTTTCTAACATGTGGGCGGGGCATCAGCTGTTAATAAGTGTAACTAAGTTATAAGGTTCAACACTGATCATATTGTCATTCTTTACACAAACCATGTTCGTGAACTTCTGTTTACATTTCACAATTAATGTACGACAAAGTTTCATAAACACAAAAAAGTTTTAAGTGTGTGGTTAATAACAGTCATTATACCATGGAAACCGGTGATTTCTCATTAATACACTGTTACTCTAACATTTTGAGATATATTCACTTCCCAGAAAAATTGTATTCTTCTGGAGTGTCACTATAATGTTATAATAAACAGAAATCAGGATGTCTAAATTTGTTTCATCTGGTTGCATTTGTGTTATGCTGGGATATGCTTATATATGCTCAAAGTGCGATATTAGATTCCTAACATTTGAAGTTTAATTTTAATTAGTAAATAGTAATTAATATGAAAGTGTAATTTTGGCAAGCATAACTCTGCAAGTATTAAATAAGTGGCTGATAGAAATATATTCCATTTATGGTGGGATCAATATATTTTTGTTATTTTACTGTCTCAGCAATTAAGGTTCTTATTATCTCTCATTGGATTAGCAATGTGCGATGACTAAATTGGGTGTGCCTAATTAACTGCTAAACACCTTTCATTATAAATGTTATGCTCTAAGTAATTGCAATTAAAGTCAATTAATTAGTGATTACAGCCATTACAGTTGGTTTAAACTTTGATACATCTTAAGTGTAGCAATGATTTCATTTGACTACTTTTATTGAAAAAATATCTGTGTCAGCAAAGAGCTCAAGACACCAAAGGTTAAAGTTGTCTTTTCAGATTTGAAAAAGTTATATGTGTTTGTTAAGTTAGAAGTTTCTGTAATGTTCATGTTGAAAAACAGCTTGTCAAGACTGAGAAATATAATTGATAATTTAATTTACATGTTATATCTCTTAGTGAATTCAGAGGTACAGATAAGCTGTGTATCTGCGTACATTACGCAAATATTTATGTGAAAACTCAATTCCTATTAAGTATATTGCGTACATGTACACTTGAATTTTTGTAAATATTCAATAAATGTGATCTTACATGCGTACACACAAAAATGTAAAATCTTAGCTTGTGTACCGGTGGATAGATAAAATAACTGAAGTATATTGAGAGGTTCTGTTTTAGGTCAATCATGATCTTGGGAACTTGCAGTCTTTCTTATCGTTTCTATTATTACAGATCAAATATAAATAACAAGCACTAACATTTAAACTTTATTATGTTTTTACAATCAATGGAACATGACAAAATACCCAATTGAGTTTGAGTGAAATGGGTACAATTTATTTGGTTACTCAAAGGAAAGTTAGGATACCCAATTGAGATGAAGACAAGCAAGTACATAACCCAATGACCAAAAATGTTATCTGTAGCTCTGGAATTAATTATCCTCTTAAGTTTCTTAATGATCATTTATGATCTATATGGTCTTCTATTGTATTGCATAACATTAAAATATGTTTTAGGTTATAATTCAACTGTATGTATTTTATTCATCATGACTGTGTGACCAGGATGTTGCAGGTAGAATGGCTTATCACTAGAACCTTGAATAATGCTTGTTAGATCATTTTAACACATACAATTTGATGTGACAGAAATCTTGAATTGGGAAAAATGTATACACATATACATGTATAGTAGGTTTGCCTTTTGCCATACGAAGTATTTGCTGTGACAAAAGATATGAAAACAATCAGCTGCTGCATAAATGCATGTTTGTAGCACTGACAAAATATTCTGTTTAGTCCAATTTGTCTTCTCAGGATACGTAATCTTGAATACAGATTAAACCCAAATTGGTGTGTTAGGAAGCCTATGTAAATTTGTCATGAACTTGTGGCTTTGATATTGTGCAAGCTCAAAAACCCAGTCTTCTATTTTTCAAAATCCTGTATTCATTCCTAAGGGTAAGGTGAGGTGAAATGGGGTTTAACGTCCTACTTAAGAATATTTCGTTCATATGACGACATGCATGCGTGTGAATGTGTGGCTGCTTGTACTAGCCCAGACTTATGCTGGTTTTATAGTTCTAGCCCACTGAGATACCATGCCGCAGTTAAGCATGAATACCCCACTCAGACACATTATACTGACTCCGAGCCGACCAGTCCTTGTTGTACCCATTACTGCCAAGCGCCAGGCAGGGACCAACAAGTACCATATTTTAACGTCTTTTGGTATGACACTGACAGGGATCGAACCCACAACCTTCCGCTCTCCACTACACCACAGAGGCGGTCCTCCTAAATTAGAAGGATAATGAATGTCTGAAGCAGGGGCAAAATATTCCGTTTTGTCCAATCTGTTTGGTAAGGATAGCTAATCTTGAATACAGAGTAAACCCAATTGGTGTGTTAGGCAGTAATTTATATCAGAATTCAGAATCACTGAAAAAACTCATAAGTATGCATTCTAAATTTTATCCTCTCTTTGTTCTCTTGCTTAACAAAGCTAAGGCATCGTTCATAGTTGTTATTAAATGGTGTTATTTGTCAAACAACTAAAACATATTTCAATTACTTGAAGACAAGTATTCTACAGTTCACAGAGTTTGAAAACTGTTCACATTCTTTCACTGATACACTAACTCCTTTGTTCATGTAACTTTATAGCAGACACAAACAAATTCCTATAAGGTTCAATTTGTTTTTAAAATTCAGATGAATTTCAAAGAGACTCCCTTCCTATTCCTAATGCAATACTCCTAATGCAATACAACTTTAAGTAGTATTTAAGTTGTATCGGGATTTATCGTCTCTCGTGGCGATGTATTGATGTATCATGGACCCTCGCTATATAAATATCCTGATATATTGCCTAAATGTGTTTTGTATCGATGCACTCTTATCGCATAGTCGACGATGCAAACATCAATACTATCGATGAATCGTTACGCCACTAGTTGCTGTTATGCAGCAATGCATTGATACAGCACAAGGTAACTGAAATACTGGCATTATTACACTTAACACCCCAGTGTGTGATTGAGGCATTATTACACTTAACAAGGCTTTACTGACAACTAATTCCATACGAGATCAGATCCACCACAGAACTGACTACTTTTCAGTCAAAATTGAAAACCCACTTTTTAACTGAAACATATTGTTAACCATTTGCAGTTTTTGTGCAGGCTCCAAAAAACGCTTCTGAGCAGTTACTAAACTGGATACTAGCACTATAGAAATATCTAGTTATTATCATTATTATGTACAGGGGTGGAAATAACCCATTGCCCGACGTCCGACTCCAGTGTTTTTTTCTGCCGGGCAAGCAAATTTGTATATCACACTGTACTGTTGTCCAGTTGACTTGCCAATGTTAATTATGTTGTTTATTTAAAAAATCAACAAGAAAACGTCCGGTATAGTGGAAAAATTATCAGGGCAAGTACTTTCACATGTGCCACTGTACGGAGTACACTAGCAATTTTAAAGTTATTTCCACCCCTGAATGTATAGTAATTCTATCCTTCAAAGAGGCAAGTCCAGATAAGCAGACAGTACAGTCTGTTATTTTATTTTTGTAGAAATTTTCATTTGAACTATTAATTATTACATTACAGACTTGTGGAAGTCTACCCACAGTCTGCGATTGCAGATTATTATTGAACATTTAGGAAATGCTATGATGCATTTGAAGTGTTATGCATTAAAATGTTCTTTGAAATATTTTATTTGGGATGTTTTATCACTAATCATTTCGCTACATATTTTCAAATAGTCACATTTGTAATAGCATGCTAACAATACAAGTGTTTAATTATTAAGATTTGAGTGATTTCGGTCTTGATGAAAGCAAAGTCTTTGATCTTACTTTCTACAAAGTAGATAAATAATGGTGATTATAGTTAATTAAGTTGGCTGATATGTACTTGCATGGGCCTGGCGTCCACACAACAGCTAAGTAAGGATTTCACTGAAATCTAAACCTTGTACACAGGATCTAAGCAACATTTATGTACAGTGATTACATCTGTAGTCTGTGTGTTATCAAGTTCCTGACACGCACACAGAATTCAGGAATAACAAATACATTGTTGACAGGATTTGACTTGTAGGTGAAGACAGACAATATGCTGATATATGGTCTCTGGTGAAGAGGAAAATATGATGCTTTTGTTTCAAAACAAAACAATTCACTAGGAAGAACTTCTCTGGAAATATGGTGGAAACTGTTTTCAAAGGAAGCGACTTTTGGGGGGGCAAAAGATCAATTTGATAGTGTTTCACTTGATTTCAGTCATTGACGTGAGACAAGGATGGTTTGAGATACTGCTACTACTAATTATGTTGTGCTAACTTCCATACAGAAGTTGTATGCTCAAAGTGCTCACATTATATACCCTGTTCAAAAGATCAGTGTGCACCCTAAACTTTAGAACTTGGTTAAATTTCAATAATTCAAAGGTATCATGCCTGGTTCATGTAACTGGTGACCCGTGAAAGTCTGGGTTAGAATGAATCTTCAGTAACCCATGCTTGTCTTAAGAGGCGACTAACGGGATCGGGTGGTCAGGCTCGCTGGCTTGGTTGACACATGTCATCGGTGCCCATGCTGTTGATCACTGGATTGTCTGGTCCAGACTTGATTATTTACAGACCTCTGCCATATAGCTGGAATATTGCTGAGTGTGGCGTAAAATGTAACTCACTCACTCATTCACCCATGTAACTGGTATCTATCGATGGTTCTCCACAGGAATACATTCAAATCCCTGAACCATATGGTTTTAACTACCACCCT